TAACATTTTTAAACTAATTATAAATTTTTATCGCGGGCCGCATAAAATTGCTACACGGGTCGCATGTAGACCATAGGCCGCGGGTTACCGACCCCTGGTTTAGATCATCGATTAATAAATTGCTTATAATCTTTTGCAGTTTTTTTATATTGTTTTTAATAACAAGGACACAATTTTTCTCCGGGCATTATAAATATTTTATCAAACAAGTGATATCATCGGTAGACGGTAGTTACGGTTTGTAAATTAGATATATTTATTATTTTCAGAAATTTCTATACATAATATTTTATTTGATTTACTAAACAAATTTTCCATAGATTTCTCTTATATTCATTCGAATATTTTTTTCTATCTATACTTGGTTGATCATGCTTGTTATGTCTATTTACAATTTCAACTATTTATACAATATTTTCTAAAGATGTATGCAATTAATGCATACACTTTTACAATTCAAACTCCGATAGTTGGTACAAGGCCGAACAATGCCATCATATTGAACAGTTTTTTAGATTCATGAACTTTACAATACTTACAACTTGAAAATAATAACAAATCTTTGTCTCTGGTACAGTGATGTAGCGTGAAACTTGGTGGCCCTGAAGCCTATAATAGTTAGAGGCCCTCTTTAACGAGAAAATTAAACAGTGATTCGATGAGGAAAAAAAATGCATGTATTATTGGTACCTGTATTATTTTACTGCTTATAAATTTATAAAAACAATGGCATTAAAGTATAAAGTGTTATATTACACAAAATAATTAAAAATTAACTTTCCTAGTCTTCACTTTAGCAAATTTGTCAATGACTTCATTCAAATGTAATTGTTGCGTCCACTTATTTTCAGTGGAAATAATTAATAAACTAGGTAGTAGAGGTATTCAATCGTTCCTCTGACATCGTACTTTTTAAATATTAATTTTTTATTAATTTTTATTTTGAGACTGATCGCTCTGCTGCTACAACAGTAAAAGTTAACATTAATTATAAAATAAAATCAATGCATACATCAGGGTATGTCGTTGTAAAAGGAGTATGTTCAATAAATAACATTTTTGCAATAAATTTCTTTTATTGTCTTTAATTTGATCGATATTATGTCTTTAAAACATGATTATAAAGATACATAGTATCAGATGAACAAAATATGGAGAATATCTAGGTCCTACTTTTTTTTTTAGTGTTTCTGCTGACTTGTATAATTCTTCAACGTTCAATTTAATTAATGAAATCGGTTGTAAGGATTTAAAGAAGTGAGATACGTAATTAAAACTTTGAAATCTTCGTTTCACTTTGATAATACTACGATCAAGTGTTGTATTAAATATTTAAATTTCAAATTTTTTCAGACGATTCTAACCTTTGGTCTTCACAAATCTGTATAAAAAATTTTTTTTATCTTGTCTTTGATTTTTAAATGTTGGTGCTATTAGTGCCGTGCCTAGCATTATCAGTACCCAGTTGCCAAGAATCATTTTAAGCACCCTTATCCCATCTACCAAGTATGTTTATACCTATAAAGAGATAACATAAGAATAGGGGAGAGAGATTCGTTAGATTTACCTTCTTTTCCACGTTTCTAACTTAAGGTTAGTAATATAATATTCAAACTTTATACGCAAAATGAAAAATATTGATAGATAAGTACCTACCTATCATACTAAACCGGTATGATTTATTTACAAATCACATTTGTTCGATTGCATACAAAATAACTTATCTTCAAATAAATGCTATTAAAAAATAATTTAGTACTTATTTATGCAATGAATGATATTAACACTATCATAGATGAGTTAAAAATAAAATCGAACAATTTGTTCCAGTCGACATTCTGTTATTAAATTAATTATATAAAATAACAATAATAATGCAGTATACATATATTTATAGTATATTATTGTTATTGACGATCAACGACGTCGTTGTTTTGGGATAAAAATAAAAACCAATTATATCCATACATAAATATGTATTTTTACATAATTTCCTACAATAGATTTCAAAACGTTATTTCATCATTTTCATCACCAGTCAAAATAATGAATCGACACCGTTGATCAGGATGATGTAATTATATTGAAACCATTAAACAATATAAATTAATATGGTTAACTTTCATCTTTCAGTAATATAAAAAAGCTTTGGCGCCTTAGTGGTCATGGCGTCCGGTGTATACGCACCTTTTGCACCCCCCCCCCCCTATGGATATGGCACTGGGTGCTATGCTCTATTTTCTTGAAAGATTTGTAGCTTCTGTAAAATATTCAAAAAAATTGTCTCCTATAATTTTTAATTCACCCGTTAATGTTTGTAGAAGTCGTGTAGCTGTATGAAGATCAATATCACTTTGTTGTAACAATTGTTAGACACCATCTACTGTTCTTAGCTATAGTATAGCGCTTACAATTACTAACGTTAAAACAAAGTTGAAATTTTCAAGATTTTTAAAATTTGTTCAGCTTCTAAAATTTTTTAACTAATGACGTTTAGTCTAAATACGCAGTCACTGTACAATGTTCTTTTGTATTTTTTATAATCAAATTATTTTCAATGTAAATATTATTTAAATATTATATTTAATATATTTTTTTTTTTTATGTAATGGTTTAGATCTTGTGGCCTCCCAACTTTGACTTATTACTTAAGGGTCCCAGCCTAAATACACCACAACTCTGGTACTTATAATAATTTTACCATTATTTTTATTCATTAGGTACTGAGATGTAAAATTTAAATACACACATGATTATAATATCGGGCTAATTAATAATATTTATACTAGATAGTAGTCGACTTTGTCTCTATTTAGTCTACTTATTATGAGTAGAACACAAAAATATTAAATTGGGCACGGGTCAGTATTATAGTAAATTCTATTAATTGAAGTTGAAAGTATAGTGTAAATTATATACACATTTAAATGAACCTATATTGGTAGCACAAATTACCTGTAATAAAATTGGCGCATAATAATATCACCCAACTGTCCCAGTTGAATTGGTTCCTGTTTAAATTTTTGATGCATCCAACTACTGATCGACTTGGTTCCCGGTTTTTTTTTTAGTTCTAATCCGGGCCTAAGGTGACCAAGTAAGCACAATTTCCCTTCCAATTTTCCGAGCTTAGGACTATAAACTTAAAAATAAAGTAGGCACGATTAAAATTATGTATTAATGATCATTGAAGTGGAAGTACACCGTTCGTTTATAGAATTAAATACTTAAATAATAATTTGAAATTTAAATTTGTTAAGATAAAAATTTGAAATAAACTTTCTTCTTCAAATATTTTATTCGTGCGAGTATCCTATTAACATAGTCAGTTATTAAGTTTTCCAAGTTGGTATCGGTTTTTTTCCTTATTTGCTGGTGAATCCTTGTATTACAACTACAAAATTAAATATAATTCAGCAATACATTGACTTAAAATTGATTACATTGCACCAAGCCCTCGCCATTTTCACGAAGTTATCAGGAAAAAAAATATGGGTACCTACAGTAAAACCTGTCCTTTTCAGAATTGCACGGGGCCGATAAAAACTTCTATTTTAAACAGGTTTCCATGTGTTTAAATAAATAAAGAAAATTCCGCATAATAGAGTTTCAATATTCTGCACGATTTAGATATAAGGTTATAACATTTTCCGGCCAATAATAAAAGTTACATATGAATAGAAGCAAATTTTTAAATATGTACAGTTCTAAATTGTTTCTATATAGATATAGAATATAGATCAACATTGAATATAGAAGTGATTTTTTTGATAGGTATTCACAGCAGGTAGACAATAAAAAAAGTCACCTAAAAATTAAAAAAAAAAAATTATTGCAGTATATATTATTATGTTTATTACATTTATAACATAATCAATCATGCAGATGGCTCGATGCCGCCTTGATTATTTAGTATCAGTAATATAAAATTAATCATACTATTCTATATGCAGATATACGTTTATTACCAATTATTTATAAAAAATTTTTTACAAATGAAAATTAATTTTCAAAGTAAAGTTATGTTAATTATTTAAGAATTTATTTATAATAATTAATTTGAACTAATGCTTCATAATTAATAAAACTCAAGTACAGTTAATTTATGCATGACTTAAAATTTAAAATATAAGGATAGTTATAAATTATTTATACTAGTATAAATAAAATAGCTATAATAAATAATAATTATTATTCATTTATTCAAATTAAAAATTTAATATTTTAAAATTGGGAAATTAGTATACAAATGTAAGGCGTAAGTGCCTTTCGCCATATCAAATAATATAATATTAAACTTATTATTACAATATTAAATAAAATATTTAAGAACAATGTATTTAAAGAACCAATAAAAAATTTTAATTTTTTTAAATAAATTTGCATAATCAAAATAAAAATGTAAAGATTTATTTAGTTTATAAGAAAATAAATATGTAAACACAAATAGTAGGTACCATTATTATCAAATAATTAAATCACAAAAAAAAATCATTTATTTTTTAAAGCAATTTTAAATTTAAAAAAATCCTATAAATATTATAGATTCATAACTTATTATAGATTTTAACATAAAATAGATTGTAGTCTTTAGATACAAATTAAAATATAAAAACTTTAACTACAATAATATTTAGGCGAATAAGCAATACCCGCTTAATTGATTTGTCGTAATTTTAATTAAATATCAATCAAAATATTCTATATTGGAGTATAAATCAATATATTTTGTAACTTATACGAAATTCAGCAGTACACATCTAATAATAATAATAAACAAAAAAAACAAAATAAATTAGAAATGTGTCTAAGCTGTGTGTATATATACATTATACAGTTAAACGATTTAATTTAAATATATTTTGTGATTATGAAGTACAAAGTGCATATTTTATTACTAATATTAATAAACATTCATCATCGGATGAAATCAATAACCTTGCATAACCTTGTATATGATAAAACCTTAAGGTACATTATGGATTTGATTAACCCCTTAGTGTCTATTTGCTACTTGAACATTACGCATATGATTGTCTCCATCTTAATTTTTTGATCATTCAATTCATGAGTAGTCACGGTTCTTCTTTAAATAAGTACTTTTTAGTTTAAATCACTTCCAGCATCAATTTAATTCCTCAATGTTGTTCAAAATTAAAATTATTTGATTTTGATACTTAATTTTTGAACACTTAATGAACAAAGAAATTAAATAATATGTCATTCATAAAGTCGTCTCCAGTGACACACATATTAATCACACTGGTGTTTTTAGTGTCTGGCCTTACTGTCAACTTGTTTCAATTATTATTTTTTATAATCTTATGGCCATTACATAAAGAACTTTTCAGAAAAATTAACTACTTTTTTGCATACATTATTTACTCAGGTATACTTTGCTTAATTGTTTTAATAATGATAATATAAGTTCATTTTGATAAAATAATAAATGTATGTACATACTTATACTTAAGCAATCTTCAAAATTTACTACAAATTGATTTAAAATTTTTCCAAAATAAATTAAATTTTTAATAGTTCAAATATTGGAAGTAGTATTGTTTTATTGTCCCACACATTTTTTAAGTGTAGTTTAAAAGTTAATTCACTTAATTATTGTGTTATTTGTGTGTACAAATTGTAAATGTCTTGAAAAAAAAAGGTTAACAAAAAGACTATAACATATTTACATATTTTAATATTTAATTGAATATAATACAAGCAGGTTTAGTGGTTTGATTAAAAATAGATGATTTGTAATCTCAATATAATATATATGTGTATTATATAAAAAAAATATAAATGTTTAAAGTCACATTTGTATTAATATTTTTCTTTTTATTATAGAACTCGTTTTCATATCTGAATGGTGGGCTGGTGTACAATATTACTTTTATGTAGATAAAGAAGATTACAAGTTTTTTGGCAAAGAACACGCAATATTCATTATTAACCACAAGTATGAAATTGACTGGCTAACTGCTTGGGTCATTCATGATCGAATTGGAGGCATTCTCGGAGTAATTTTTTTTTTTTTTTGATACCTACTAGTTACTACTGATTTTTAGTTAGATTAAGAACTAACGATTAATTAAATATGTTTTAAAATTATTGCATTGTTTAACAAGAACTGCAAAGCCTTCGCGAAAAATAGTCTCAAGTACATGCCTGTGATTGGTTGGGCTTGGTGGTTTAGCGAATTTTTATTCCTCCAGAGAGACTTGGTAAAAGATAAGTACACAATCGAAACTAAGCTCAAAACATTGTTCGAATATGAAAACCCAGTCACGGTATTTTTTTAAATTCAATAAAAATGTATCTTCTATAGGTACTTATTATAATATTTTAATGTTGTATTTCTAAATTTTCGGGCAGATGTTGTTATACGCAGAAGGTACCAGATTCACAAAAGAAAAACAAGAAGCTAGCATTAAGTTTGCTCGAACAAAAGGTCTACCGGAGTTAAAAGAACACTTACTGCCGAGGACTAAAGGTTTTAGTATTGGATTGCCTCATTTTAGACATAATTTACCAGCCGTCTATAATGTTCAAATTGCTTTTAAAGGGTACGTAACATTATAACTAAATACGTTTTAGCTAATATTTAATCATCTGTAGTATTTATACGGCTACCAACAGCGATCTATACCTAATTTTAGTATTTTTTCCGCCGATAACTTTTATTCTAACATAGTTTTTTCAATATAACTTTCGTTAATGCAGAGAACAAAAACCATCGATGAAAGCATTGTTAAATGGTCAACGATTAGAAGCACATGTATACATGGAAAGAATACCTATTGAACAAGTTCCAGAAGGTGACAAAGAAAGTGAAAAATGGATGTACGACATGTACGAAAAAAAAGTAATATTTAATATCTTATACATTATCTGCTTGGTTTTCGGAAATAATTCCTAACATCTTCAATTAAAAATAACTTAGGGTTATTGGTTAGGTAAACTTAAAATAAATAATATGAATGCTCTAAATTTGTTAGTTTAAATTACCGAATACACATTTACATCATATACCTAAATCTACTTTATTCAATAGATTTAAAATTGAAATAATCAATGTTTAATTCCACATAAGCCATTTATGTCTGATGTCCAAAATAAAATAAAATAACGAAGCCCTCAGCCCAACCCATGACAACACCAACAAAATAATCACATTTTTAAAACAAATTTATATGTATAATCTAATTTAAGAACCCATTGTATAACTATACTTTATTATGTACTAAATACTTGATTTTTGTTGCAAGCTAATAACCTTATCAGTTGAAGCTGTACCATGAATAAAAAAAATAAATAAATAAAATAAAATAAATCATCTTTAAATTACTTTTAACTTTAAAAATCACTTAAATAAAAATAACTTGAACAGCGTTTTATAAAAATAAAGAATGTATATTATATATTCGTTTTCAAAATTAATTTATAACAATAAGACAATAATATAATAATAGGTATATTAACCTATTCATAACTAATTAAACGCGTTCTAGGTAATCTGAAACATATATTCTAACCTATGTGATATGCCCTATTGTCTTATATCACATTACTCATTATATATTTGGGTATATTGTATAAAAAAATAATTATTTAAAATTGATTAAAGTACCCGATGAGTATGTTTAAACATTGTAATATCACATATAGTTATATTATTATTAAGAATTAAATAATAAATATTAAAAGTAATTAATTATAAAATTAAATTAAAATAAAATATATATTTTTTGAATAGATTGGTAATTCTTTTAACTATTTTTGCAATTTTCATATTATAAATAATTAGTTTTAAACATATTTAATCAACAAGATAAAATGATGATCAGCTTCTTAAACACAGGAGATTGGTTTAAAGAAAGTGGTGTAAAGCCGCTGGAGAAATTTGTTCCACCATATCGTTATTATAGTCTTCTAAACATGGTTATTTGGTCAATCTTGATTTTAATACCGTTTTTCTATTTTGCATTTAACATATTGATTTCGGGAAATTTACTTCATATAGTACTGATGGTGGTACCAATTAGCTTACGTAAGTTTAATATTCAAACAAATATATCATAAAATGTAGTGAATATTTTATCAGTAGATATAATTCAAAATATTTTATTTACAGTTTATGTAGTCTTATCCAAATTGATGAGTGTTTCTGAAATAAGTAAGACGTCTTCAAAATACGGAACAGAGAAACAAAAAACGAAATAAATACAAATTAATGAAACAAAGAAAAAACATTTAGAAAAGTTTTAAACTTATAGTTATAAGTTAAATTTTTTTATTTAAATCATGTCTTATTATCATATAATATAATTATACGTAGTATAATAAGATATTCAAATTTTTTTAAATTATTTTGATGTTAATTATTATTAGTGTCCTGTTGTGGACTTCTCAGTTATTTCCGTAGTATTTTCGTAAGCATAAATGTTGAATTTTATCTTAAACTTTATAAATACATTTATTTATATTTTATTAAGTTAAATGAAACTATTGTTATTTTTTTTTTTTTTTTTAACTAACTATGCGAACTGCAGTCTGTATCTGTCTACTACGATAGTTCACAGCTTTATAGCCTGCTCCGAGCTCGCATAGTCGCGTGGCGTCTTTTAATGTATTTTAGATGTGTGATAAAGTTTGTAGAGATAAAATACACGACAGAGTACAGAGACAACGATGTATAAATCATTTAGTATCTAGTATGTCACATAAATAATTAAAGAAAAACTGTACATTTACATGCACTAATGCTCTATACTCGCACAGAGCTGAATTATAATTATTGTAAGAGTAATGTCATAAAATAAATTGAATCCTAGATTTAACAAATATGATAATTGAATTATGATTCAATAATTTAACAACCACTATTCATTGTCTTCATCAAGAATTTTTTATTTTGTTTGTACCCAATTGACAATTGACAATTATATATAATTATTAATAATTAAATAACTCGAAAGTATAATAATATATTTATTAAAATTAAAAAAAAAAAAAATACAAAAAAAAGGTACATAACATTAAGTATTTCATTATTTTTAAAATTATGAAAACATTAAGAAATAATTTAAAATTCATAACACAAAGTATTTAAATACTACAGAAAAGACACTTCAATAAAAAAACATTTGTATAGGAGAAATATCAATTATTTTATTTATATTTACAAAGTACATTCCAGTACAGATGGATGACATAAGGAAAAAAAATGATTAATGATCCAAAAATTAATAAAAAAAGGATTAAATTAATAATAATGTTGTATTTGTACGATTTTTTTTTAAACAAATTACTCTAAATACATTTTTAAATTTAAATTTAAACATCAATATTCTCAGTATTTTAAAATATAAATTTAAAAGCAATTTTTAAAAAAAATTAGTATATTTAAATTAAAGCAAAAGAAAGGACATATTAGTTTTTATATCATTACTCACAATAAAAGGATTTGGAACTTTATATGAATGATATATTATTATAAATCATATAAATACATTTCTCGTTTTTCTTTGATTTTATTTATCATACTAAACTTGTACTATTACAGAAATTAGAATTAATATAATACTGTTAACGTATACTTGTTGAAAGTATTACACACATCTAAACGATTAATTTTAATTTCAACAATTAATTTTATTTTAAAAGAATATCATTTTTTTTTCATAAGATGAATTATAATTTAAGTTACTTCTTTTTGATTTCTAAATGGGTTCAATGTTCCAAACGACAAATATTTAAATTTATTTTAGAATTATGTACAGGTTCTGAAACATTTCTTTGGCACTTTTGGTATATTATTCACAAAGAGTTGATAACAAATTAATAAGTGCTGAAATTTATATTTTATTTTATAGAAGAAGGGATGCTAGCTGATGTAGTCACCGATGAGTTAGGTTCTGCTGATCTGGTCATAGTTCGAACGGCGTATTATGTATTGGAATCTAAAATCTAAATAATAATACAATTATTTGATATAAAGTCATACGAGTACAGCAATTATTTTTAATTATCTAGGTACATCAAATAAAAACTATAATGTCAAACACTCTGTGAAAAGTATACCTGCAGAATCATTGTGTTCATGGGTGGATTCCGAAGTTACAGCATTTTTATTTATGTCAGTAGAGAAATATAATTTACTTGGCTTGCTATTATGTTGCTTAATTGAAATTATTATCTGATAAAAAAAAAAAAAAAACTAATGTCCATTATTCTGTAATAAACTAATATTTATACAACTTCTTGACATTGAAGACCTGAAATAAATTTATATTATTTTATATACAATACATTTTAACAATTATTAAAAATAATAATAACATTATTAAACCATATTTAATAATAATACTATAAGTCACTTATGTATAGTTTATTACATAAAAACTAATAATAATCTATTACTAAATTATGCAATTTACTATTAATCATATTATAAATTTAATATTGAATAATCACTTGAAAAAATTAACATAGAACTGATCGCAAGCATTGACACAAGTACACAACTATGAAGAAGCTCAGAGTGCTGAAGAAACTACTAATGACAGCTTTATGGAGTGTGACGATAACCCTTCTTCGGGAACGGCATTAGATAATAGGTTTTACAAGGCTCTAAGTAGAATACATTCTGCGAGGCGCTATATTTATGGCAACTTTAAGTCTTTAACACCCTCTCTCATCACCAAATTAATAAATACAATAAACAAAGACACATTATATTTTTATAAATTATTTACCTGAATAAACAGTTAATGATTGTTTATACGTCATTATATCTAATTATATATCTAAATTATATCTATTAATATCATTTTAAATATATTGCAACCTATCTACAAAGTTAACACTGTATCAAAAAAAGTATTTATTATTATAAATTATTATAAAATTAATTTTGTCAAATTATAAATAATAACTGAACGTATTGTTGCCTTTTACTGGTATTTCATGATTTTTAATTAAAATGATAATCATGTTCGCTTATATACTACAATTAATTTGAAATCAAAACATAATAAATAGTTAGTCATCAAAATGTAGGTACTTAAAAAATGATTACAAAATCTAGTAAAAATATAAACATAAATATATAAAAACTAAATTAAAAAGTTATACATTAAAAATAGTTATTCTAGCAAAACACGAAATTCTATTTATTTAAATAATTTATAAATATTACAAACAATATTTTACTAGGAAAACTATTTTTAATGTATTAATTTTTTAATTTTTTATTATACATATTTTTTATCATTTTTTAATCATAGTCATAGTTTAAAAAGATAATATATTAAAAAAATTGCGTGTAGTGAAATTTATAATAATAAAATAAAGTAATAAACAAATATGAAAAAGTATTGAAGTCCCCACGAATGATGTTTTTAATTTATAACAAAATAATTAACATCGTTATTCATCGATAAAAAGGGTATTTTTATTGTTTATACTTCTCCAAATGTCTATGAAAATAAATAGTAATTATTTTTGTACACTTATAGATTTTTTAGTTCCAGTATGAAATTCTTATGGGGAACAATAGGTATATGTATTACATTTTTAAACCTTAGCTACAAAAATCAAAAATTTTATAAATTTTTATTACAAAATACTTATAATTTGTGTTGTTTGACATTTTGATGAATTTTGTTAAAATTCTAACTTTAAACACTTATAAAAAAATATTATGTATATAAATTTTTGATATTTTTGAATTTGAAAATAAACAACTTATTAGGGATCTTGCATGAAATTTTTAAGTATTTTTACACATATTTACATACATTTTTATGGTCATCTATCAAAAAATTTAAAATTTAATATTTCTATAAATAGTACTAAAAAGTTAAAATATTTTGAAAATTATACCAAGTATAGAAAATTATTTTATAACACTTAGTGAAAAATTTTTACGGTTATTCGTTTAAGAGTTTCACAAAAAAAAAAAACAGATTTGCGTAAAAATTACCATTTTACCTTTAATTTTTTGTTTGTTTTTCTCAAATATCTTGACCTCTTTAAAGTACAAATTAGATCCAATTTGCTAATTGCCCATTCAACTTTCTAAGTAATTTTATTTTCGCATTACACACACTTAACGATTGTATATTAATTGACAGCTGCAGTACCACATACATATCTAATTTTTCGACAAATTCGAACTTAAAATATTTATAAAACTAGTTTGAGTTACAAAATGACCGATGTGTTGTCCTGAGGTGGTGCTGGAGTTGTCATAACACATTTATTTGGTCTGTGGACAGTGGACTGTCCATCACGCGCTGTCCGTCATGCCAACCGCGTCGATATTCGTCGAACAGCTTATCTGTATACTTAAATGTTTCGGGAATATAATGACCTGACACACAAGATAAGAACTGAAAATGTTGGTGGTCAGAACTGATTTCCAGTCGTTGTTAGACATTGGCCAACAGCTAAGCTGAGCACAAGTTGCGCCGGGCGACTTTAGTCAGAATTTGCAAAAATTTTGAAAAGTACATGCGTACCTGCAGTTAATCGGTGAGACGATAATCCACATAGTAGGTCTTCATTCTGCAATAGTAAAGTTTTTTGTCTGTCTAACAAGTTTCTGGAAACTAACTCAACAGCAGCTTGTCTTTTCGATAACAGACCGAACTCCTCCTTGCCGCCACAAACATCGTGCATCATGACCGATAAGACTGCAGTCTCCACATGGGTCTACTAGTTTACCAATTCGGAGTGTAGCATCCTACTCACACCCAATAAACAATCTCCGGGTCCTATAAAACAATCTCTGCTGGGCCCTCCACAAAAACTTGTTCTATACACACCAACTCTCCGATTTGTCCTGAACCCACCTGTTGGTTGCAGTCTTGTAGTCTTTGCGACCTGTTGACGCTATGTATTTATTGCCTGGTGCTGCTTTACCGTTGCACCTGTTATCACTTCACATTCGTGGCCATTTATTGCCGTTTCACAATTATATTCAGTAACCGTGTTTGAACCTATTCAACCAATGATGGTCTCAAGAAAGAATTCGGCTGCGTTCAAAGTAATGTTGCGTCCCTTATGTCAACGTCGATTCATATACCAACGTAGAAATAGAAATACTAATGTTTGCAAGTTAAAAGATTAAGTCTTTATTTAATACAATTAATTCGTACAAGAATACAATTTTATAAGCACAAGATGGAGTGAGTGGTGTTACGACCTGCCTCTGAGCGTCTCAAATATCCCTAACCGTCTCCTGAGCTCTTGTCTCGGTCTCCCTTATATATGGTTAACTGACAAGAGTGGTGACTGGGGAGGTGGCGACTTCCGATGACCTAAAGGAGCTCTAAATTATATGTATTATTCAGTTGGGTACCTTTCCTGCGATTTCATCAATTCCAAGAAATCCAAGACGTGGGATCAAGCCTTAATTGTTATATTAAATAGTACAATGTTAACACTATCGTTTACTATCTATTCTGAGAAGTCTAGGACGTGTGATCAAGTCTTAATTGTTTTATTAAATAACACGATATGCAGGTGTTCACCCTAGCCGTTCGGTACTACACTGTTTGAATATATTATCCCATCGGTATACGCGTCACCTCTCCGTATAATATATGCGTTGAAATAACACGGTACGTAACAGTAATATAATTAGGACGATGTCGGCCAATTATGAGATAGAACGTCAGAAGACAGATGTAACACATTTGCGGATATTGTGTGTGCAGTGTGCTGGATGTTAGTAGGAAAATCTTTTCACTAAACACCTCATAACGACTGTTGCAGGTCTTCGAACGGATAGACGAAACGGAAACATGCCACTTCATTTTGGAAAATGGCATAAACCAAATATGTGAGTGACTTGTGAATGTAACGAAATTTTTATTATGCAGGGATGGGCAAATAAATTAGATAAAATCATGAACATTATAGTAAAAACAATTTTATTTGCGTTGTATCACAAATAATACGAGTTATGGTCTTCTATGCCGACTGTCAACACATCTTTTTTTTTATTTTAATAAAACTTGTGACTAAATTATTGTTATTTAATGTCTTATTACGAAATTCACAAAATATTGTGTTTTCGTATTTAACATTAATACATTATGTAATAATATATGGCTCATACAAAAAATCGAGCTCATGCTCATATGTTACACGCCTGTTAACAGTATCAATACATATACGTATACAGCATATGCCTATATGTATTTATACTTTATACCGTGATTAAGATACATTTTTTTTTTAAGCTCGATATGGATTATTGAAAATTATCTAACAAACAACTAAAATTGTGCACAGCATAACACATTGTGTGTCTAATACGAAATTAAAATTTGATCAGTGGAATTTAAACATCATTACAGTATATCCAAGTATCGTTAAAATTTTAACTTTAATGATATTTTTTTACTTTTAAATCTCTAGAAAGCCAACTAGATCTAATTTGTTACCCAAAAATACCATCAAAATTTAAAATTAAAGCATTTTTATTTCCTATGATGTGATGATAAACATAAAAATAAAAAACACACATCATTGTTAAAACAATTCATTTATTGCTTTGCTGAGAATCTAAGATTTGGGTTAGGTTAACCAAACTTATCTGGGTTTTACTAACAAGCAATAGCCTAATATATCAAATATTTACAATCTGAAATAGGGCTTTCTAATAAAGTTATCAATTATCATTTCAGCACTCAATTGTTCATCTATAGTATCTATAGTTACATCAATACATATTTAAACATGCACTTATTAGTTTAAAAGAAAACACAAGAAATACTAATATTAACTTATTATTATTAGTATAAACTAAAATAAATATATAATATTTTTCATATTTTAAAAGATTTATAATTTATAACATATTATATCATACAATATATGAATATGTAAGTAATTCAAAATAAAAAAGGAGAAAAGTAGATAACCACTCTGCTGTATTGTAACTAAAAAATGTCTAGTGTACCTCCTCATCATTAATAAAAATCACTGTAATGTACGCGCTAAATTTAAATTCAATAATAAATCTTTGTATACAAAAAAAGATTCTGAGCAAAGACTACATGTCAGACAGTCAGATTAAGTATATTGTAAAGTATATTTTATGAAGTTTTTTTGATATTGCTAATAAAGTAATTTATTTTAAGTACTATTAGTATTACGGTAAGTTAATTAAATATTTTTTTAAATCCCAAAAATTTTGCATATTATATTATGTAATATTATTCATTATTATTATTATTAAAATGTTTTGAAAATGCCATATGTATACAAAATATAATAAAACATGTAGGTAAAAGTTTCAAGTTTCCACGAACAAAATTTTTGAATGGCGAGTACAATAAAATAAATAACCATTCTTTGTTTAAATATTTAATTTCACTTAACTTTTTTTTTAAATTTTTGTAAAAATAATATATACTATGGATATTTATATTAAATTTTCAAATCTTAGGTTTAAATATTAAAAATGTTGTAAATTTTATAGCTACAGTAGTCACTCGTTAATTTGAACCTCGATAATAAGAAGAAAATACATATTGTATTCCGGCCCCCCTCGATAATTCGAAATGTCTATCGGTGGAATACACTCTACAATTCGAATTTTTATTCCATGAACCTTTATAATTCGAATTTCCTTAAACGTGATTATATGTAAGTTCATATGTATGTACAATGTACATTGTACCTACATACATATAAAGATTATTATTATGTATAATCTATTTAACGTACTCGTAATGAAACTAATATAGTGGTTAAATATTATCGTAGTTTATAAACGTTATCGTACTTTATCTTACTATTCTAAACTTTTGTCAGGATTACGTACATTTTTTAAGCAATTTGAAATAGACAAAAAAAGATACGATACAATTTTCAATACTATCAGTAAGTTAGACAACTTAAGAGTACTATAAAAGTATAACATAATTTTAAAATGTCGATGACCTTGATAAATTTTGTAAAATTAGAACTTTAAACTTTATTTTTAATATTTTTTATTGGTATTAAAATAACCATATATGAAACCTTGTGTTAAATTTTCAAACTAGTACAACCAATAACAAATATTTTATCATGCATAAATCAAATAAAAAAAATAAAAAGTTTAAAATTTAAAATACATATAAATACCAAAAAAAGATTTAAAATATTTTTTGTCTAGTAAATGATAATAAAAATATCCGTTCATCATTTCAAGTCTTATTTTAAGAAAACGAAAAAACGAAATCGATTTTGTCCAAAACTGGTTTAACATAATAACAATTTTCGTTTTTCCTTTATTTCTATTTTGTTTTTCCCAATTATTTAACAGTATTTTGAATTTTTTACAATAATTGACCTACTAAATCCAATTTGCAACAAAAAACCATCCTAAAAATTAAAAATCAAAGCATTTTACTACTGTACAAGATGATGACAGATAAAAAAAACATTAAAATTAAAAAAAAAAACAACATTCTAAAATCTAAAATTAATACATTCGTAGCTTTACTTAGAATCTAAAATAATTTTAATTAAAAGCATTGTAAAACTTAAACTGACAAAACAATATAAATCATAACATTTATAAGTTTATAACATTTGACTTAATACATATTATATAATAGATAATGATGAAGATTCCATAGTTTATAAATATATATTACTTCCATCATAATCGTCTTACAACATTTTATAAATTATAAATAATATTGGAGTAGGTACATAATATTTTAATCGTAGTTATAGTTTAAGTCAATAGTTGAAAGGTTTTTCATAACAACATATCTAATTGATTGTAGTACTCAGTTTGTACTATCAACTGTAATTTGATTGGCAAATGCCAAAACCAAAAATAATAAAAAGATAAATATGTCACAAAGACTGTCGCATAAATTTTGCATGAAACATCAATACACCTCGTGTATTTATGATTACTATAATTTTAATCATAATTGTGGCTCCCCACTAAATGAGAAACATAAATACTTTTCAAATTTACTGTGATACTTAATGATAGCAAGTACGAAGTAGAGATGAACCACGAATTTATTGGCGCGTATATGCGTCGGCGTTACACGAGCATTGGGTGGAGGGGGGGGAGATGGTCGATCGATTTGCTGCGACAAGTAAACATAATAATAAACAACTAAAATTTCAGTATCCAGTGAAATAACTAGGAGACATTTTTTAGGGAGAGCGGGATGAGTGGCAAATATAATATTTTTTTATTTACAGAATTTAAAAAATATAATAATGGTAGAATATAATAGTCTTTGAAGTTTTTTAAATTGTACAATTTGTGAAAACTGTATCGAATTAGTATGAAAATCCATGTTATGCTGTGGAAAACAGCTTTAAATGAACCTATCTACGTATTATAATGTGTATAAAGAACTAGGAAACCAAGTTTTCTGGAAAAACCGCGAAAATCTGTTATTCAAATCTGCTTGCGATAGTCTTTATCCCGCAAACTACGTGTGTGTGCGTACAACGGTCATAAGTGATGGGCATAACAATAAATAATAATACAACAATAACTGTGTCATGCAGTCGTCGTTCGGTCACGTAACAATCATAACATTAATTATTATTATTACTGAAAACGTGCGTGTAGGTACATACCGGTGTAGTAATACAGGAAATCGTGGTGTAATAACGTGTGGACACTGGGCACGACCGGCGGCGGCATGTCGGTCGTGTTAGATCAACCAAAAGTATATGGAAAAGCCTCGGCGGTCGATCACCGTGCCGTCGTAATAGGAGAATATCGACATCACTGTAACGTAATAATAGATGATCATCATCAGCAGCAACAAAAAGCCCCGAACCTCGACCGGGATCATGCTGGGGCCCGGGCGACCTTCGCGGGGCACGGCGCTGAGCTGGTGGCTCGCTGTCGGGAGTCTGCAGTTCTGCACTCGGCAGTCGGTGACGGCGTAGCCCGCGCGACGAAACGACCGACGACCGACCGACCGGCGACGACAGACCGCGACCGGCGGTCTGCGGGGCGGTGCGCGCGGCGTCCTGGGACCCTGGTACTAATCCGGGCAAGTGATGCGTCCGTG